AGCAATTTATTGGCCGAGTGATGTTCACTGTCATTTTTATTTCTAAAGTAGAAAATCTTGCCTCAATGCCAATACAGACTCGAATCAGCAAAGGCATTACAACATGATAGCTTAACCATAGATGCAACATGTTTAATGAATTTTGCTTGAAATTGACATCTTTTTTTTTTATTTTTTTGCCAGGGGCCTCGCGCTCAGAGAAGCTTTTATGCTTTTGTTTAATTGTGTTTACATTAGCATAACATTCCGCTTTATCTTATTGTCCATGATGCTTCTTTCTCGTTTATCTGGTTTGAAAGTCATGTTATAGGTAGGTCTATAGATTTCGAACAAGTCTAGCACCCTAAAATTTGCTGGTTATGGCTTTAACAAATAAACAACTTGCATTACCTCTTCTTTTTTTAGGGTATTTAAATCAGTTTGTGTATATATTAATTAATTTGATAAATTTTAAAATTAATAATTATATAAATATTTATATAAAACTCTAAAAATTATAGAACTTGAATTAGCGGCGTCAATCAACTTGTTTCTTCACATTCAAAGCTCTTTATAGGCTTCTGAACCGACCATGAATACAGTAAACACAAAATTCCTAGAGTACTGTAATCCACATAGGTAATTTGCAGCTAACTACCATTTCATTTCTTCATTTCTGATGAATCATTAATGGGTAATTTGCAGCTAACTACCATTTCATTTATTCATTTCTAATGAATCATTAATGGCGCTATTAGTTGATAGAAATTGCTATTGTTTTCATTAATAGTCCTCCTACTTTATTTCAATTTATAGAGTTATTGGCACAAAATTAGAGTGCATTTAAAAGAAAAAAGAGTGTTTCTTCGTCTTCTTTAGTATTTTTTCTTAATCATTAATTTTCTATTTGTCTTATATTTTATGTGAACTCTTTAAATACTTCTACCCAGAAAAAGCTTGTTTTTTTGGGTGTGTTAGAAAATATGGTTCAAATTATATTTTCTAAAAATTTAAAACTTAATTTTTTCATATTTTTATATTATTTTAATATATATTTTAGCAAAAAGTATTTTTAACTATAATCGTTATTATATTTTCAAATACACTCTTAATTTAATAGTTGTTAGCTTTACCATCATAAGGGAATTTCTTACACTTGAAAACCCTTTCTATTTTACTCAACTAATTAATAAATTAATTTGCCTATAATCTAAAGGAGCTTTATCCAAAACCCTAAATATACAAGATAAAGATACACATCCCAAATAGGGAGGTTGACTCCTTTACTCTCATTCTTGAAATGCATTATCAAAACTGTATGGATACATGATCAATCTTTTCATAAGTTTCATAAGCATTCAAGTTTGTTATTCATGTGTCCATTCTACATTATATTTTTGTATAATTTTAATTTCTAAAATATTTCTTTTTTTAAAAGAGATCCTCTTCATTCCCTATTATACAAACACGTCATATTATGCCAACCCTAGCCATATGTTTTTTTAAACACAAATTTTGAACTGTAATTTCATGGTTTAATTTGAACACAAATCAACAGTTCAACTAGTTTGAGCTGTAATTTCTTGGTTTAATTTAGAGCTACTGTAAATTTTGACTGACTATAATAAATCAATACTCTGTAGAACTTGGCCTGTAAAACTTTATAGCAAGATTTAAACTCAAATCAACAGTTCAAATTAAAAAATTATGAGTTTTTTCATCACGACAATCACTATGTGTGACTTAATTAAATCTAAGTCAGTGGTCAGGTCATAAATACTCCTTCCAAGGTCATCCACGTAACCAATTGTGTTTGATCCATAACTCCTTAGAACACCATGCGTACTCTTTAGCAGAACATGATCTTTGGCCTTGATGAAGCGCAAGGTGACTTGAAAAGGTCCACGAAGTTTAAGAATAAAGATCTAAGTAATATGATGTTTATAATCCTTCTATTCCAGTTTAATAATAATATAAGTCATTAAAAAAAACAAAAAAAAGCCCCTCACAGCATCAAAGTACAGAAACTAGGAAAAACTAGCAGCATCTAAGCACGAACATAGCAGAAGAATCAAAACCTGAAAAAAGAAACTTATTATACCTAAAATTGGAGGATCACTCTCAGAACCCTTCACAAATTATGCCTCGCCTGTCCCCTTAGCCCTTCCAACTTGGAGAATCGATGAGATTTCGACCAAAAAAACAAAGAAGGACCAATCTAAGAAAAATTGAATATTTATGCAGATGGGCGAAGGGCACCAGATTCCATTGTCAGCTACAATCTGCTCGTCAATGGATGCCACATTTTTTTCTTCTACATGAGGAATTTAGGGATTACTTTTGCTTCCACTCACAACTCAACTATAAAGCAAAACTTGGGGAAGTTCGCTGGAAAGATCAAACAAGTCAACAACTCTGGGCCAGAGATTGCTTTAAGAGGGGAAAAAAAAAGTTGGAATTAGTTATTTACTATGTAAATAGCTCATACTATGAGATGAGTTATTTTTTTGTCAACAAATATTTACGTGATATAAAAAATGAGTAAAAAAAATTAAGATTTTAATAACCGAAAGATGTCATGCATATTATTAGGATAATAACATGAAAAATTAACAAAAACAAAAAACCATGAAATAAGCATAACAGAATCAAAGAAAAAAATAAAAAATTACAAGAATAAAAATCAAATTTAAAATATTAAAATATAATAAAAAATTCTAACATGTATAATTTTCTAACATGTTTTTTCATATGAAAAAATCCCATATATAAAGTGAAAAACTTATATGCGTGTCTAGCTAAATAAATTAATAATTATTTTGTAATGAAATGAAAAACAAAATCATCAACTATAAACAAAAACAAAATTGAAACAATCATAGTTTTAAAACCTGACTTGGCAGTTTGAACCAAGCAAGAACCGGGCCGCGTTTAAGAAAAAATAAAGGAAATCAAAACTTTGTGTGACCTGATGAGTTGACTTGATGACCTGGCAAAACCTGATCACAAACCCGATTACAACTATTGACTTTTTTTTTATTAAAATGATATCGTTTTGATTCTTTTAAAAGTCAGAATTGATCAGGGCGATCTGGTCAAAATTCAGAACCCAGGCCTTAGGCAAGGTCGAACACCGGGCCAGGTTTAAAAACTCTAGAAAAAACTTAAAAACAAATGTAAGTCAAAATATTTAATATCGCAACATAAATAATTTATCAAATTGTATTTAATAAATCTATTAATCAAAATAAATTTGTAATAGAAACCAACACAAATATGAAATTTATTAAATACATTAAAAGAAAAAAAATTATGAAAGTCAAAAAATTAATTATACAATTATTCAATTTAAAAAATATATATATTTTAGTAATTTTAACATGATTTTATTAAAAAAAATAAGAATGTTGCGGAAGGAAATCAAAACTTTGTGTGACCTGATGACCTGGCAAGACCTGATTACAAACCCGATTGTAATTATTGACTTTTTTTTTACTAAAATGATATTGGGAAATCAAAACTTTGTGTGACCTGATGAGTTGACTTGATGACCTGGCAAAACCTGATCACAAACCCGATTACAACTATTGACTTTTTTTTTATTAAAATGATATCGTTTTGATTCATTTAAAAGTCAGATCGTTTTGATTCTTTTAAAAGTCAGAATTGATCAGGGCGATCTGGTCAAAATTCAGAACCCAGGCCTTAGGCAAGGTCGAACACCGGGCCAGGTTTAAAAACTCTAGAAAAAACTTAAAAACAAATGTAAGTCAAAATATTTAATATCGCAACATAAATAATTTATCAAATTGTATTTAATAAATCTATTAATCAAAATAAATTTGTAATAGAAGCCAACACAAATATGAAATTTATTAAATACATTAAAAGAAAAAATATTATGAAAGTCAAAAAATTAATTATACAATTATTCAATTTTAAAAAAAATATTTTAGTAATTTTAACACGAGTTTATTAAAAAAAATAAGAATGCTGCCGCAGGTAACTTTTTGGAATATTTTTTAAATTAATTATACAATGATAAAAAAATACTTGTAAGAAATACACCAAATAATAACATTATGGAGAGAAAATGTATTTTTTTCATCAAAACCTCTTTTCTGATTTATGTAGTTTTTTGTTGTTTTGATAAAAAAAAGTTTTTTTTTATAAATAGCATAGTTCATTAAATAAAATTTAAAAGGAACTAAAATAAAATATTTATGAAAACTATAATGATTTGAACTTTATTTTCATAGAATATTCAGGACTACAAGCTTGAAAAAAAAACTCTACACGGTAAATTTTATATATAATAATTAAAAAAAATGTTATTATAAAAAAAATGAAACAGTCTTATTGAAAATAAATTTTAAATTGAGTGGTACCTAATAAAATAATATATTAAGTATAATTAAAATAAAAGAGAAAAACTATAAAGGCTTAACCAAAAAAAAAAAATGTCATACACTTAAGACTAAGTCAGACAACGCACCTAGCCAATATTAAAAGTGGTTAGCTAGACTCATTCGCTTAACCACCATTTTTTTTTTAAATAGGTAGGTGATACATCGCCTATCCAGTGTTTTTTAATAAAACAAAGCAAAATATTATCTGTAATAGCAGATAATATATCGTTTGTTGGTTTATATTCCGATCATCGAAAAGATGATTGAAAAGCTAAGTCTTCATCTAAAAATACAAAAAAATAAAAAAGAATTTCTTAACATTGATCCTTTTTTTTTGCAGTAATATAAAAAAAAGCTTAAAAACACATTAATGGAAGTTGAAAGGGGAAAAAATAAAAGGAAGAAACTGATCCGAAAATGTATCGTAGTGGGTAAACAAAAACGACCAAAATGAAAAGAAAGGAGAAATATTGGGATGGATTTGAGTGACAAAGGTCCAAACTCCAAAGCTTCACACTGGATACAGTACACAAGTACAACAACTATGGTTATGGACCTATGGTCCTTCCCTCCCTCCCTCCCGCCCGCCC